ATCTGTATTTTATTCATTATTATTCAATAAATAATACACAAATAAAAACACAACTATAACAGTTCTTTGTCAATATAAAAAAAATATTATTATATTATTCAACAAAATTGTAAATATATGTGTACACCACCACCTTTTAAGGACTTTTACATCTTGTTTATGCGTGTTACAACGTTTAAAAATAATCTTCAACACAAGAAACAATTTCGTCAGTTTTCTAAAAAACTTAACATACATTATATTTTTAAAAATGTTTGTCAACTTTTTAGAAATTCCTCTAATATTTTAAGTTGGTCCCAACACACCAACAGTAACACAGTGTGAGGGCCCAAACGCAGGTAGTTGGCACCAACTCCCTTGTAGAAGGCCCCTGCGCCTTCTGATCTCAACATCTTGAGAAAACAGTCTGACATGCCACGGTATAGTGTACCTTTATTGTTACTGTCTACAGCTGAAAAGAAGAAACAAAACAGGGTATAAAAGCTCCAAAAGTATACAATACAACAACACTATTATATTTACGACACAAAGAAGAATATTGAAAGAAGGGCCATGATTTTATATCCAACTATGCGTTATACTCGTATTATGGCCATGCATCTGGGAGTGGTGTAAACAAATACCACTTCTAATTCCCGTATAGATACTTACGTTGATTGGAAAGCCTGGTGGCCATCACGTCGAATGGGTTCAAACAAAAGGTCATCACGACCCCGCCGAGATTTGCGCCAAAAAATGACAGCAGCAGTGGTGAGCTGGCGCAAACGTCGTGATCACGTAACCACTGTTTAGCGTACGCGAAGCTCACGATCTGAGAACTGCTACCCACCGCACCGCGCGGGATTTGAGGATAAACACCACGGAATAGACCTGAATGTATAAATAAAGAAGAGAAGATTGATTGATACAATACTAGTAAAAAATAGGTAAAAAATACAGTAAGATATTTAAAAAGATTTATTTTATAATATAATGTGACAAACGAGCCAGCTGCCACCTGAATCCACCGAAATGGAAAGCGACCGCTGCCCATAAACATCCGCAATTGCAGATGCGTTGCCTACCCTTCATTGACGGAGGAGAAGAC